GTCTTGCAGCCTGCATAATTTTCTCTTTTTTTGATAAAGCCCATTTTGTTTTCTTATTTCATTCTGTATTTCCAGGTCCTTCTTCAGGGGATTTCCAATAAAACAGAACTGGCTGAGAATAAAAAGAAAGCTAAATGCTCTGCTTACAGGAAGACTGTCTTCATAGCTTCAAGATGCTGAAAAGAATACAGGGCAAAAATGCATTGGGCTTTATCTAAATAAGAAAATAAAATGGTATTTACCAAAATAAGGATATAAAACAGATTATAAGACAATTATTGGCATTTTGAGGATTTTGCTCCTTGGTTTAGAGACTGACAATGTCAACCAAACAAGGCTTGCTATGATTACTGGTAATGATGAATTGATTATGGTGATGGTGGTGGTAGTGATCATGATTATATAAATGAGTGTCTCTAAAGGTTTGGTGATTATTTTTCTTTTTTATGTATTGATGTCTACTTTTAGAGTGGATTGATTCTCTGTTACCTTGCCTTTTGTGGGGAGCATTTTAAAAGTGTTTTTAAAGACTTTTGGAGTGCCAGAAAACATAACTGGGGAAACATGAATAGGAAATTTTAAAAAAGCCTTTCCCTTTCAAGTGAAATGAAAGAATCAGTACATGAAAATATAAAAAATAAATTGATGCCCTTCCAGAAGAACCTGAAATGAAAGAAATGTTTAAAAAGTCTAGGGATGTTCCTTCTGCTTGCTCTCATGAAAGTAATCTTGTTAAGGCAGCTTAGAATTGCATCAGCCTTTTTATTCACCCAATTTACACAACTGACTTCAGTTTAATGTATGGGGTGCTATAGCCACTAGATCGTATCGCATCTCACCATAGTGTATGTCCTTCCATTGTTTAATTATGGGGCTGTGTGGTAGAGCAGTGTTTTGTTATCAATTGAACATAAAGCTCTATGGCTGTAGTTTTTTTAAACTATAAATACCTTTTATTGATCAATTGACTGTATATATCTGTGGATCTCCTTCTTTTAAAAGGTAAGTACCTTAATTTAGTTTTACAGGAGAGAAAATCTATGGCTGAAAACCAGTTGGTGCAATATCCACCACATAAATGGAGATGATGTTAATCACCCGGCAACAATATTCCAAAGCTCCCTTGGATCCCCTTCTGACACAAGTAGGCTTTTGGGAGCCTCAGAATGGTGTGGGGAAGCCTTTAACGTTGGAAAATCTCCGCTGCCATTCCTGCTCCAAGTCTGCGACCACCGATAGCGATCAGATGGTGATTTTCCAATATTAAAGGTTTCCCTGCTCCATCCAAATGGCTCCCAAAGTCTTTCCCAGGGCAAAAGAGATTATCTCTAGGGAGCTTTAGAACCTGAAGGAGAGTGGACAGGAAGTTTTAAATTTAATAAAAGTTTGTTGTAGCTGAGTGATGATGTTATTAACTGAATTACAGCCTATGGCTATGGCGAAGATACCTACTAGGCAAAGGAATAGGTTTTTCATCAAGGAATACTGGATTCCATAATATGTATTAGTGACTGAGCGAATTTGTGCACTTTTCTTATTTACATAAGTCTTTCCACACCTTTTCATATTTCGCTTAGTTTACTGTGCTGTTGCTAACCATGGAAAAGGTAACAATCCTGGAGCCCTGCTTCCCTGCCACTGAAAGACCTTATTTAGCTACCTCTCTCCAGATACTGGTCATGTCTGTTTTAAGCATGCTTTGTCAGTCATAAGGGCTAGAAACATAATTTAAGGGAAACAAAAGGTAAATGGGGCTACCCTAAAACTGCAGCACTTCACGCAGACTTGGATACATCTCTTCCACCACGTTGCCACTTGAGGGTGCTATTATACAAACATGGACCACGGAAGATATATTTACAATCTCCTGGTTGGAAATCTCTGGTTTAAAAAAAAAAGAATAACAATGTTTAAACAACTATAGCTTGGGTCTCTACTGGTAAAATCTGTGCTGTAACATTGGTCCCAGTTCCCAGATTCTGCAGACCGAATCCAGTCAGGAAGGAGCACTTCAACGAGCAACGCTTCCATGGTCCATTCTTATAGGCTTTTAATAATGCTAATTAGCTGTTTGAGAAGGAGACAGTGGAAAGGCATCATTACGGACTCAATCCTCCTGTTCCTAAACACAGCTTAGTAATGTCCAATCCCCTGACCATGCTCACCATCTGTCAGAGGATATTTGAATGTATCTTTATGGATTCAGAAGATCTTAATGGTCTCAAGATGCTGGTGATGTTTTCTTGAGCCATTATCAAGTTCAGATATCTGCTGTGGGGGATCATAAAGCCCCCCTCAAATGCAGACCTTGGAGCATTAGCACGAAAGACTTAATTGGTTAAGATTTCGGTTAGAGGACCAAGAGACAGTTATGCTTTTATTCTAAAGGAACTCTTATCTATGAGAAAATGGTGTATGTTACATAGTGGCACTGTGTTGTTTCCTCCTTCAAATTGTTTTTTTTTTCATTTTGATCTTCATATCTTTCTTCACTTGCAACAACTTTTAATTCATCCTTCCAACACCATGTACTGTTTGAAAAAGGTTAGCGTCTTTATTCTTTAGTTAGAGGACTCAGGTGCAATTCTGAAATTCAGCAACAAGTATTAGGTGAGAAACTGAAAATGGAGAATTCTTATTCAGAAATACTCTGAGTGTCTCCTGAGTGGACATAGAACATACTTCGGCACTGCTTAATAGCTGCATCCTCTGCCTCTCCACCCAGTTAGGATGAAGCACTTAAAAGTGAAAATCCACTGTCATTAAACAAAGAGAAAGTCATAGAGATCTTATATCCCTTGTATTAGTATAGCTTTGTTTACAAAGCTATGACGATTTCTTCAAAGCAATCCATCCTCATTTTTCCAACTGAAACACTTAGCTTTCACCCTATTCTTTTCCACCCCATCCTCACCTGTGAAATGGTAGTTCTGGTGCTCTGTGCTTGACTCACTGTTTTTCACTACTCCCATATGGCTGGGATGGTCTTGCATTGCAGTCAAAGAAACTAAAAGAGCTCCCCACCCCCATCCGAAGCTGCCATGATCAGCTGCTCTGTCCTCTTTACTCATAGTGGCTCAGGCTCTTTCTGTGCCACCCCTGCTGGTTACAATCACCAAAACAGATCAACTAAAACCATTAAAGCTGTGGGCAAATGTTGAACTTATTTGTATTAATTGAGTTAATTAGCATTGATGTTAAATGGCACTTAGTCTTTATTTGGTCGAAAGTCAAATTCATTCAGTAGTTTAATTCATTAAAAACAATAGGTTTATTTCAAAATCCTCTGTGCTCAAATAAGAAGTGATCTTTATGAACACAAAATTCTTTCCCACCTTCGTTCAATTGAGCTGGCTGGATAGCTTAGTGATTTAGGCATCTGGCTGCAGAGTCTGAAGCTGGGAATTCGTTTCCCCACATGCATCTCAGAAGAGCCAGCCTGTACAGCCTTGGGCAAGCTGCACAGTCCCAGGATGCCTCCAAGAAGAAGAGAATGGTAAACCATTTCTGAGTATTATTTACCTGGAACCCATAAGTCAGAAGTAACTGGACAGCATATAATTACTATTTTCAAATGGGCAGAAATATATAGAACTTCATGCAAACACCTGGAAAAATTCATTTTCTCTATTACAACTTGGTGAATCTTCCACCAGGCATGGGCAGTAGCTGGAAGATTTGGAGGGCTGCATTCCAAATAGTGTTTTTTTCAAGTTCTGTTCCGCACACCAGAAAAAATGCTATACAACAGAACAGGGCCACTGAGAAGGGAAAAGGGAAATGATGTGTGTGAATGTTGGAGAATGGAGGCTGATGGGTGACTGAACTGGGGGAAGCGGAAGACAATGAGTGGAAAATGTTCTGTGAGCCTTGAATCAAATTCCAGATAGCTTTCTGATCTCTACTATGAAAACAGCATTTTAACCAACTCCACGTATGCCTGTGTGTATTGAGCCTGTCACCAAAGCCTTCTGCAGGTGGAAGCCTGTGTCTGCATATGATCCATCTTTGCTACCTAGGAAGAACTCCCACCCTACCCTCTTATCAGAGCGTGGAACATCTACTGCATGCACTACAGCCTTCAAGCCCCACAGCAGGATCTGCACAGCAAACTAGTCCTAGTCACATTTCTCTAAATGTAAAAGTATAATTTAAATATAATCTACATATTCAACTACCGAGGGCTCTGGAATTCAAATATAAATTAATGAAGACAACATTATTGCCTAAAATTATAAGTCCACTTTCATATTTATTGCATATTCAGCTATGAAGTACATTCTGAAGTCTCACAATATAAACAATGTGAACTATTATTACTAATAGTTTACGCAGTCATAATACAAGAGAACCTATGATGCAATGTGACTGCAAGAAAAATACATGTGTTAGAACCAGTTATCCATGAAGAGAATGCACCAGAACAATTCAGTATTAGTAGATTCTCACTTTTCATTTATTGTTAGAGGCTTCCATGGAGGGAAGGGATACAGTCATGACCAAATCCATATGGCAGGAATGATCTTCAACAGATGATATAAGGAGCAGCTGCTCAAGGCATCTTGGAACAGAGGACAGACTTCCCAGCTTCAAACCAGCCTAACCTCTATGCATCTGTCATGGCCCCTGAAGTTGTCCCATTCCCTCACCTCTAGGGCCACAAAACAGGATCTAGTCACTGTCCAAATCCCTTCCCAACATCAAAAACAAGTCAGATTCTGAAATCAAGATGTTTGGAGCACTAATGAAGCAGACGGTTCACAGCAAAGCTGATCAAGGTCACTCGTTCAGTTAATGTCCCCATCTTCATAATAACCTGATACTAACCATCCACAATGCAGTCTCTTCCCCTCCAGATAGGCACAGATTCTGTTCTTGGGACAGGTGGGATAAGTAAAACCAACTTTGCCTGTGTACAAAATGTTTGGTGTGTGAGCATCTGGAAGCATTTAAGGAACTGCTGGCTATTGCTAGAGCTGGCAGACCTCATACTGTACATGGTTTGGATATTTGCTCATCGGACAGCCTGGTCCAGTCTTCTCCCTCTACCTGACCATCTTGCTGCACAGAATGATATTGAGGAGAGTTAGAGAAGTGTCACTAAAGCACCATAATTCAGAGGGTCTGAAATGTATGTGGGGCCCAGATAGCTATTTACAGGAGGAAGCAGGACACATGCAGCAAGAAAACAACCTGTGCATGCAAGTGATCAGGTGACACTGCAAAACACCACCGTGTGTTGGGGAGAACAAAGTCAAAGGTTCAGGGCAAAAAGCCTACCTATACCGACCATAGAGTTACATCCTCCTTTCTCTTCCTCCAGTTTCACAGAAAACAGTGCAAGGGTATAAATACAAGTAGAACTTTCGTAGCTGGGGCCACAATAAATATTTACATACATACCACCACCTCTTGGGCTGGATTGGGCTGAGCATGTAAATGAACCAAAGTCCCCCTACATCCAAAGCACCTCGAATATGTCCCATGTTATAATACTGTTCCTGAGCCCATAATGCATTGAAACCAGTTAGAGCAGGTCAGAGCCACTGTGTGTGGTGCAGTCTTCCAAATTTGGACAGGTTTACCATGCCCAGAAACACCCATGCTGCTGTCCCGCAGGCCAAAACACCATGTGCACATGTACACCATATCTCCTTCATAGACTTCCCCTGCCTTACTAATGCTCTAAAAGGATCCCATGCATTGGGCCTGTTTAATCATGCCTAAGTAGAGAAGCTATCTCAACAGCTCAAAGAGAGCATGCCTTGGCCACTGCAGGCACCCAAACTCTTAAGTATGGGAAAGGGTGCAAGCACCTGCAGTGACATCAGCACAGTAGCACTGTGGGCATTAAATGCTCTAAGCATATAGCCTGCCAAAAGTGCCAGGGAGGCGACATGCAGAGGAGAGGCAAAGGCAGGAGCAAAGATGGCATGTCTGTGTAACCTCAGGAGTGAAGCGACTGATGCTGCTGCTTGAGAAAAGGACTGTAACATGGTCTGAAATACACCAGCTCCCTCCCTCCGCCCACTCACTATTGCTGGATTGATTCTTTGCTGTCATTTGACCTTTTGCAAATGGGCGCTGTTAGGCAGGGTGATGGCTGGTGGAAAAGGACCACAGGCAGTGACATCTGGGCATCTTGGAAGAGCCACAGGACATGTCAGTGCCAAGGGGTACCAAAGCCTATGGCACAGGGAGCAGGCTGCTCTGCAAGAGAATCTCCTCCCCTGGGCTGAGGTTGAGCATCCCCTTTGGAGTGACATTGCCCTCATGGGTTATTGCAAACCCCAGGGGTGTCACAATACTTCTTGTTGGCATCCTAACCCTCCTGGGGGAGCTCAGAAGCGGGTGCTCTGATAGCGCAGACGGCGGATCTCAGAGACACCTTCGTCCCGGCAGTACAGGTCCCTGCCGGGACTCTGTGCCAGTCACCGACCCCCTGCTCCACCACCCCCTCCCCCTGCACTGCTGCTGGCACTGCTGGAGCTGCCTGAGCTGGAACTGCTGCAACGGTCCTCATAGATGGAGATCTCAATCTGCAAGCAAGAGGCTAAGGAGACTGGGAGCTAGTGTGTGGCAACCCTGAACCTCTCCCCCCAATAACCACTTAGACCTCCCGTCACCCACAGCAGATCCTTTTCCAATACATCCACTCCAGAGCAACCCCAGCAATTTGATGGGTATCAGAGTCTTATGAATGGAGGCTTTTTTTTTTGACACTATACTTGTCCCTTGAATTGCATGGGTCCAAGCAGCACAGTTTTGGTTATACTGTACATGGATTATATCAATATGTCAATCGATATTTCAATAAACAAATTAATATTCAATAAATACTGTGCTGTTATTTGTCTGGCACGGCAGCCAGGGAGGCAGCTGGTACATGCCAGAAAGCCTACACAGATTGGGGGAGATGTGTATGTGTGTCTCTGTGTGTGAATCAACTGTTTTGTGCTTTGTAATGACATTTGAGGGGCACAAAAGTTATAGAAAGATTTTGAAGCACATGAAGGTTTGGCACCCTGAAATGCAGCACTGATGGGAGAATTGTACTTCTCATATTAGACCAGTAATGGGGGACATGTAGTCTTTTATGTGTGTTGGGTTACAATCGCCACCATCTCCCTCAACATTAGCTATGTTGACTAGGGCTGATGGAAGTTGCAGTCCAACAACATCTTGGAAGCCATATATAGAGCTTGGGCAAATCCCTTTTTTGGACTACAACTCCCAAAACCCTCCATCGCCCTCACAGAGAATGAAAACATCTGGCTCCTCAGCATAAGCTTCACAGCCTCTTGTTGTAGGAGGCAGGTGTGGAAACATGTCAGTGTTTGTTCGATATTGTGAACCTCGCGAAGCTGTAACACCACCAAGAGCACTGAGAAAAGGAATTCATACATCACTGTCTTACCATTCAGCCTCAATGTCTCCAGCATCCACTGCCCCAAAGTATAGGAGGGGCAGTGGACGATGGACATATTTCTGCATCTAAGCAGAGAAATATACTACAAATGTAAATATTTATTTGTTTGCTTATTTTGTTGAACTTGGTTCATGAGCTACCCTGCCCCAGAGAGTTACAACTTCTAGTGTATTAGAGCTGTTTGATGAGCAGTAGCAAAGACATTATCACCAGGTAAGTCCTCAGGCTTCTCTGTTCCATCTGAGCTTAGGTTCAGCATTAGCATGGAAGGAGAAAGGGACAGATTTTCTAATAAACATACCTTGTTATAAGCTATCCCTGGTCTTGGGTGGAAATTAAAACCCACTGGTCTCACAAAAGACTTGGTCCTTGCAAAAATGAAAACTGCTATTAGAGGTTTGTTGCACAGATCACTACAGCAGATCATGTGTTTGTACTCCTCTTGGAGGTGTATCTATAAAAGCTATCCTTACAAATGCATGCACTTATACATTTACCATTGTGTCTCTGGGTCTCAGCCTGAAATCTACTAATCCCAGCAACTGTGCCCCATAAAGAAAGAGGCAGAAGAAGAGCCACAGCTCAATTGTATGGGTTAAGCAGGAACATCTGAACTAAGGAGAGGACTCTGAAGAACTTCTGCCTCCCAGCATCTCTCAAGGAGACATGAGCTAGATTTATGGGTGTCTGTCTTTCTTTGCATCCTTAATGTCAACAATCAGTCAAAAAGGATACAACCCGCATGCCCCGTTCAACTGGATCTGTCAGCAATAGCCCTCGGGGAGCATAGATCTTCTCATTCTGCTCCTGTATATATTTGGAGATCTTCTTCAAAACCTGAAGGGGAAAAAAATTAGAGATTCAACAGTTGTGTTGGAAAGATAATGCCTAGCTAGAGACCCCAAATAATGAGTGAGACAAGAAGAAAATAACTTTAACTACATTCTCCAGAGTTCTCTTGGTGATGTTTCACTGGTCTTAAAAATGGAAGAGTATTTCATGAAATTTAAACAAGTACGTCCTTCAGGAATAGAGCTAGCACTGTCTGGGAAACTGCAGAAAGACCAGCAATCTCTGACTGCTTATCATCCATCCCATGGTTCCTCCATGGTGTATTTGTTCCAACCACAACAACCTTCATTCTACCACTTGGCACTGAATGAGTGCAGGGTATATTGAGATGGCCATCCAAACTTATCTTTGAGAACCCACTTCTCTTATTTTCCAGAATTCCACATCTCTTTAAGAAAGCCTTTTAAAATCCGGAAGAAATTTTTTTAAAATGAGCTTTTCTGCTTGAATTATTGTTATTATTGTTCAGTGGTGGTGCAGCACTAATTGGAAGGTATTAACCGGGAGCTTCCTGCTGTGGACATCCTCTGCAAATGTACTTCTGTTCTCTTTGAAATCAACATCTCCTTTGAAAACATTCTTTAAGCAAATCTTGTATAGATATTAAATACTGTAAATTTGTTTCTCTTCAAGATTTAGCCAGTTTGACTGTTTGGTTTTGAGTTATAATTTAGCTGTAATTGAAATCTGACTGGGAAGCTCTTACTGCTTAAATTTTGCCTTGGCACAGATACTTAAAGTCCCTTGCTTTAAGATTTAAAACAGAGTCAAAAGTCACAGAAAAAAATGCTGAAAGAACCAAGATAAAAGGGATGTTGTATGGATGGTGGGAAAAACACTAATAGCATCTGTGCAGAGACCACTACTTTGAAAGAACAACGGTTCCACACACAAAAAGCTTCTCATCCTGAATGTCACCATTTTGCCAGGACAATTCATTCCTAAGTGACAGTAGAAGAACACGATTAGGATGCAATTCCAACACAATTACCTAGGAATAGTTCCATTGAACGCAAGGGAGTTATTTCTGAATAAACCCACTGTTAGCCTCCCTCATATACTGTTTATGCCCCTGTGTAAATGACTGGTGCAGATGAAATTGAGGTCTCTTCCAATTGTGTGATTTTATTGCAATAGAGTTCTTTCCTGGGAAGGGAAGGGAAGGGAAGGGAAGGGAAGGGAAGGGAAGGGAAGGGAAGGGAAGGATCAGTTGTTGCCTTCAAGATGTTGTTAAGTACAATGTGCTGTCAGTCTATTGTTGGCCAGCAAATTTGACAGTTGGAACCAGAACGAAAACCTTAAAAGAACAAAACAAAAGAACTAAAATGTGTCCCTCCTGCCACTTCTGATCATCCTCAAAAAAGGGATGTGACAGGCAGTACATCTCATCTGATGGTCCACGTGCATGTTAATTACATGCTCTCTGCATTCTCACCATCTCTACACTGGACAAGAGTAACAAGTGAGCAAACGATCTCATTGTCTACAACAGGGATGGACAATTAGGGGCTGCTAGATATTAGTGAGCTGCAACTCCCATCATATCTCATCACTGAATCTGCTGGCTACATCTGACAGGAGTTGTAGTCCAACAACATCTGGAGGGCCACAAATTGCCCACTCGTGGTCCCTATCATCCTTTGCAATATGGGTACAGGATTCTCCTGACCCATGCCATACTCCAATTACCAGAACAAAGTAAATGTCAATAAAAAATTTTGTCCTGTTAAACAAATGTTAAAATTCAATTTGTAATTCAAACTCACCTAGACTGACTCATATATTGTCCCTTACCATTCTAGAGCCTTGAATTTAGAACTCAGATTTCAAAGCACTCTGAAATCAGAGCACAGCCTTCAGTGCACCGTTCCTCCCTTGTATTTCTAAACCAGGAGTGGGTAGATAGTAGATCCACTTCTAGATTCCTGGACGATTTGCAGATCATGGGGAAAATTACCTTGGGGGGGGCTACATTTCCTAAAGTCCTCCAGCTGCCTCTGGTAATCAGATTGCTTCTCACATTATGTAGGCAAAGCCAGATTTGCTTATTCTGACTATACGTACAGCAGAGACTTGCAGCTAATCATGACTCCTTTAAAAGTGAACTGATGTAATACACATTTTTACATGTATGTTTTTGGCTCACTTCACATTTTTAGGTGTACGATTAGACGTGCATTAAAAAAACATAACATGTGAAGTGTTCCTGTAGAAGTAGAAGTAATGATTTAAGTGACTATCACAGAGATGATGTGGACTGGCGTTAAGTGGAAACATTCTGTTCCCACCTTGTCACAACCAAAATCGGAGGCAGACAATCACTTCTCATGCAGTTTGAAAAGGTCTTGAAACAGGTCTTGCTTCCCATAATATGCACACATTTCTTTTATCTAGCTGTTGTGGTCAAACATGTACTGCAGGTTTCAGAAACAATGCAAGGAGTCCATCAACCCCCTGGAATAAGTGTACAAACCATGGACAGTGATTCAGCTTTCAAAACATCTACAACTGATCACATATCTCTCCACTTTCTAGACAGAGGACAGGCTAAAAGAACCAGCTTTGGAACAGACTAGAATTCTCGGGTTACCACTTGTTTCGCAGTAAAATGAGTTTGTTGCTAGACTACTGATGTTGCTTTAATTTCTGCTACCCACTGAGACCGTATGTCTTCTTTTTGTCATAGCCACCATAAAAGAAGATGCATTGTACAGCTTCTTTGAGTAGCAGAGAAATTAAAGTATCACGTGCAAATATCCTGACTTATTAAACCACTGCAGAGGACAGGAATACTGAAGTTGTTCTTACTGCCTACAGGCAGAGGTTATCACTGTACAGAATGTATTCTATTTAGCTTAGCCCAGATAACCCAGAGGCTTTGGCAAGGTCAGAAGTGCTTGCTTATCAATACCTTTGAAGAGGCATTATTATATGTAGGAAGCTTCCTGGAGGTATGCTAGGAAGAAAACAGAACCCTCATTACCGTATGTATATTTATGTGTGTCATGCATTCATAGCACAACTGTCCCACCTCACATCCTCTAGAGAATATAAGGGGGCTGTTTGACCCCCTCAGATTTCTTCAAGAACAATTGAGAGGGTACCAGATGGCCTCAAAGATGCAGCTTCCAACTTTTCTGAAATAATGATTGCCATGTTACTTGGTGCTTCTACTCCAAGTCAGTATACAGGCCATGTGCCTTTGGCCAAAAGTCAATGGGTAGTTTGCCGAGTGCCTGCAAGCCCTTTGTCTCTAGGGATGAAGGCAAGTAATTGATTCTACAGTCCTTGAGGTGAAACCTGGTAACACCACACCTCAAACTGACTTTTCAAGCTTGCACCCCCTATTCTGAAACTATAGTAACTACAAATTACTTTAGCATCTGCCTTGGACAATCTTTGGATTTTTCTGCTTCTTCTTCCTGTGAGACAGAAGGCGAGAGGGACACCCCACTCGCCAGAGAGCCATCCCTCCTCCACAACAAGGATAAGGAGGCAAGACCCCAGCCAGCACCCAAACCAACAGAGAGAGCTCAGCAAGGGACAAAAATAGAGGAACTGAGGGAACAGATACAGAAAATAACGATGGAGGAGGTTCCGGAGGAAAAGGAGAGGAAAAAGAGAGTGGAGTTTGAGACAGGAATAGGGAAGGTAAAGAGGAAGGAAGGGGAGTTGCCACCAGGCTGGGAATGGGTGTGGATGGAGGATCCCTGGACTGGGTCATGGGAGAGGCTAAGAGTGCCCAAAGAGGAGGCTGACTATAGAAGGAGAAGGGAGATTCCACCCAGATCCTCATATTGGGGAGAAGCCAAAGTGAGAGACTGGAGAAGGAGACTGAGAGAGGAGAAAGAGAGAGTGGAGAGAGAAAAGAACGAAAGATTAGACTAGAGGATAAGAGAGATGAGGAGAAAGAGCTACAGGGAGGCTCCTGGGAGAACTGAGACCCAGTGAGATGAATCCTGTGGATTGATGCCTGGGATTACGAGATCATGCCCCTGTTGGAAGGTTCAATGGGGCAGGCCATAAAAGACTGGGTTCCTTCAGATTTGCTGGGACTATGGAACGCCAGTTGTGGAAATCCGTTCATGTTCAAAGATTGGAAACCCCTTCAGGACCATTCGCAGAAGGAGACAAGATCATGTTATGGACACTCGTTTAATGTTAAATGCACCAATAAACCTTTCACCTATTTTGAAACAATAAAAATCTACTGATTTCTTTGAATCGAACATGGAGCCAAAAACCGAACTCTCACACTTCCTCCATCCTAAATTTTGTAATACCTGCTTAATCGTTGTGAAGAAATCAACATTTGGCTTTCCTTTCTTCCCATCTGCCTTCCTTCAGTGACATTTGGGTGGCCTGATCAAAGTATTACCCAACCATTTACATGCTATTGGTTTATCTACCCAACATGCTTCACACTGATCCATCAATGTATCTGTTAACATTCATAGTATCAGGTGTTGCCCCAGGTCTTGTGTGTCCCCTCCAAACCTTCTCATAGTGGGTTTCCATGCAAAGAAAGATGAAGTAGGCTGTGGCACAGGCAAGGCACCCCTCCAGATAGGAGCTGCCTCCAATTTTCTCAGCCTCTGCGTAGAAGTTGTTGAGGGTCTTCACAGTTTCCTCAAAAAGATGCCGCTCAATCTTTGGCAAAAAGAGAACAAGGAAAAAAGCACATAAGAAACATACACATGAAACCTTTTTATGCATTTTGGTCTTCCCTTTTTACCTAGCTGAAAAAGATGGAACAATGACCTTAGCAAGGCCAAGAAGACTTACACAAGGAACAGGTATATAGTGGGGTGTCATCCGCATATATATTCTTATTCATGTCTGTGAGAGGTGGCCTCTCTATTGTGTATTTTATATGCGATGATCTAACTCTTACGAAATATTGATTCAGCCTAAAGGGTGGGACTATGAAAGAGCAGGACTATAAGAGATTTGAATCAGAAAGAGAGGGAGAACTGAAGAGCCCAGAGCCACTGTTGACATTTGGACTATTGAGGCCTGTGTCAACTTGGTTTAACCAGTCTGCAGTCCGCTGATGGATATAATCTCTCCCTTTGCTCTTTGGTTTGACAAAAGGACTTGTGATATACTAAGTTGGTCAGAGTGTGAGGCACAAGTCACAACTGTACCCTGCTATCCAGCTCAGGGGGAAATTTGGTCTGGAACTGGCAGATGGTCCCATCGCTGTAATCTCGCTGCACAAAGACCTTCGTGGCCAATGAGGCACTCCGCCGTAGTTCTTGGAGATTGTGGACCTGGGGGAAAATAACACAGGCAAGTTGTTACAACAGGCAAAAACATCTGCTGGAAATATGGAGGAAGAAGCCCATACAGAATCCGAGATCCTGCTCATCAAACAGCATGTATTGTTCTTTGTGCATGGATTCATGTGCTTCACTGTGTTACTTTATACAGCATTTTTTTTCATTGAGATAACCCTATTTATTCTCCGCTTTTCCCAGTAACAATTCCATTTTCTGAAGTCCTCCCTAAAACAATTCTCCCACTGACATATTTTCTATGAGAGGAAAAACACAGAAAATAAGGTGCATATTTTCCCCATATCTGATTACTTCTAAATTGGACTACAATCATGTGCTGCAAGTGGTGCTCTGCTTGGAGATAACCTGGAGATTGTGGCTGATGCAGAACATTGTTTGCTTGGTGCTGACACAGCAGTGAAGAGTGAACCTATGACTTCTGCTCTGGAATTTCTTCAATGACTTCACCAGGATAACTTCAAGGTGTTCATATATGCAATGCCATAGTTGGGTCCAGACTCAGGTTAAGTGTCCTCCCAATACTTAGCTTCCCACACTTTAGGAATAACATGGTCCTGTGTGTTTTATGCATGGCAGGGTCTTCTTTGAAGTACAGAGCAAGTTCAGACATGCATGTCTATTAACTGATAAGTAATGTAGAAAGCAGCCATCATAAATCAAACACTGCAAAGTAGATAATTTCTGTGGAGGCAAGGTGTGCTATCTATTGAGAAGCAAGAGATATCAAGTAGTACACGACATGCATACATGAATTAGCACTCATGTTACTGTTTACATATTTATGCTATACCATATTGCAAGAAATATTCAGGGAGCAGAGAGAGACCAGGAAAAGATTTCTTTCATCTGGCTGTGAAGCAGCTGGACCAATGGACTACTGGACACCTATTGTCCCCCCTGGCAGCAGACCTCAAGAACCAGAAGTTGTCTTATGGCAATGAGTAATCTAAAATAGTTCTTGGGACGTGGTGCTGCTGTGGGTTAAACCTCAGAAGCCTCTGTGCTGCAAGGTTGGAAGACCCAGCAGATGTAAGATCGAATTCACGTGACGAAGCGAGTTTCCGTTGCTCGTCCCAGCTGCTGCCAACCTAGCAGTTCGAAAGCATGCAAAAATGTGAGTAGATAAATAGGTACCACCTCGGTGGGAAGGTAACGATGTTGTGTCTAGTTGCACTGGCCATATGACCATGAAAAGCTGTCTTCGGACAAACGCTGGCTCTATGGCTTGGAAACGGGGTTGAGTCAGACACAACTGGACTAAATGTCAAGGGGAATCTTTACTTAACCTTACCTAAAATAGTTCTGTCAGTGAATTTTAATTTGCATTTCCAGTTCCTGTGTTGGACACTCAGAAGAAGCCTGCACATGTTTTCCTGAAACTGTGTCCAAGGAAGTTGCACTATTATTCTGTTTTTAATTTAACCATTGTCAGCTCCAGATTAACCATTAAGCCAAATAAGCACATGCTTAGGGCATCAATAAAGGAAGGGGGTACCACAGAATTTTTTTCAATGCCAGATATCCCATGAACCACAGTGCAAATGGTGCACTCTTTTATAACAAATCACATCCATCCATCCAAATCCCCACCACAGAATCTTTTTCAATGCCAGATATCCCATGAATCACAGTGCAAATGGTGCACTCTTCTATAACAAACCACATCCATCTGTCCAAATCCCTCAGCCTTCTCCTTCCTTCCCTCAAAAGCCTCAAGACAGCTTTCTCCTTCCTTCCCTCAAAAGCCTCAAGAAAACCACCTCCCTACCTAAAGCAACTGGGTATGAACCAGTAAAAGCTAAAAAGTATAAGGACTCGCCTAGTGAGAAAACTCATGTTTTGAGTGAAATGATCCATCATCATAATCATTGTTGCTGTTTTGTTTTGTTTTGTTTTCTTTATTTTAACTTCTGTATTTTGGGAGGTTGGGTGGGGATAAGGATAAAAAGAGTTGTTCTTTTAGACGTATGGCCTCTGTACTATATGTGCAAGCAAAAGAAATAACAGCCACTGTTTAAAAATGCCCCAAAAGGGGTTTTAAGCTCTTCTGTGTCCTTTTCTGTTTACAGATTCTGACAAAAATCTGTCTATATTAATTAAAGAGTGAAAGCACAAGATTTGGATGAAAACCAGTAATTTTATTGCATGTATTATTTTGTATATAATACATGGTTCATTTTTGTCACATGCTATACAATTAAATTATGGTTTTTTTGTGCATATAGTGTGTGCATCATATGTTTTTTTTAAGTCATGGGACCTGCTGTGTGTTATACTTGTAGGGGGCACCATAATTTTTTTAGTGCTTAGGGCTTCTAAAGGTCTTAACCCCAACCATTGTAGGATGTGGATGTGATGACAGGTAGGTAGGTAGGCAGGCAGGCCAGCAAACATGGACATATAAAATTTAGCTCCTCCTTATACAAATCAGCCTGTTCCAGTGTCTCTACCTGCTCTGCATGCAAATCAGAGATTACTCACAAAGGAAGGAAGGGAAAGCCTTGAGAACTTGAGTTGTTTATGCAGTCTCTTAATACTTGGGGAAATTTTAAAGGTAGCCTGCAGCGGGAGCTCCTTTTCTACCCACTGAGGAGTGGGACTTGGGGGTAGGGTGGCAGCTTATTGTATCCAAAGGAAGCCCTTCATTCTAAACCAGAGTTTGAACAGAGAAAGTAAATTTCATGGGGAAGGACCTCCATTTCCATGGGGAAGGACCTCAGTCTCTTGCATCTCTCTACCTGAAGTTCAACCTCACCCTGCAGGCTCACAGAGATCATCAATCACTAGAAATCTAGAAACTGAGACTATTGAGGTAAAAAGAGTGGGGCAGCTACCAAGCGATTTCCATAGAGTGGCAAGGTAAGGACAGTTTTTTTTCTAGAATTATACTTGTAGGCATTTCTCCTGAATTGTTATGCAAACCATTACTGAGACCAAACTCAGATAAAAATACAGATTCGTCTCACTTCTAGTTTAAATCCTAGCCAAAGACCACCAATGAAGCTAGGAGTGAGTACATGCCATGAAGGCGAGAGCCTGGCTAATAGGCAGGCCAGCCTTGGATCTGCTTTTCTTAATTTATGAAGACCCAAGAACTACAATTTTGTTGCAAGATCCTCCATAAACACAGCAGATGCCTGTCACACAGTTTTAGAGAATAAATGGCCTATAATATATCCTGGCCCTAACCCATTATGACATTTTATCAGCAGTTCTGCATGGCCAACTTCCCTAGATGTGTACACACCTTAACATGTCTTTGTAAGTGACTGGCTTGTAAATTAATGGAGCCAGAGAGTTCTCAGCTGAATTTCATCATTGCCCTTCCCATCCTCTACGATAGTAGTTTCCAATGTTGGGTAACCCAGGTGTTCTTGCATTGCAACTCCCAGAAATTCCCGGCAGCACAGGTAGTGGCGAAGGCTTCTGGGAGTTGAAGTCCAAGAATACCTGGGGACCCAGGGTTGGGAACCACTGCTGTATGACAAGACATCTTGAGCTTGTTTCTTGATTTCTGTTTGATATGCTTATTCAGTATATGAAAAGGAAAAACATGCAGCTGAATAAGCAGTGTGTTTCAATGGTTAGTGCATTAAGTGTAGCTCTGCAAAGCGACACACTTTGCTTTTGCTTTCCCACCTCTGTTCTTGACAAATAAATGGCAATCAACTTCATACATGAAAGAATGTACTGAATACACTAAATTACATTTTCCTAACAAGAACCCAGTACCCTAGTAATTCTGCTCAGCAGACTGATCTCAACCTCATCTTTTCCATTTTGTATTCTCATGTTATAGAAATTTCCTCAGACAAAATGATCTGAGTCTTTGCAAGGTTCTTGCATTGAATTTTTTCTTCAGACATTGCTCAGTTTACCAGTTGAACTGTCCCCAAACTTCTCCCTACCTATCTTATTGCCTAAGACCTTAAATGTAGCACAAACATTTGTTCCTCCTTCTCCATGCCCCAATTTTGTTTTCAGAAAAACTCTGTGAGGTAAATCACAAGAGTATGACTGAGGATTTCTATACATTCCAAAGAAACTTCCTGACAGAAGTTAGACTGTTAGACTGTGGTATGGAATACCTCAAAAGGTAATTGACTTTCCTTTATTGAAGGTGTTTAAACAGAGGAGCTGGCTGGATAGCTCAGAGGCTGGGATTTGAATTCCCCACTGTGCCTCCTATGAGTAGAGCCAGCCAGTGTGGCCTTGGGCAAGGTGCACAGTCCCAGGGCACCGCCAGAAGAAAGGAATAGTAAACCACTTCTGAGTACTCTTTACCTGGGAAACCCTGAAAAGGGTTGCCATAAGTCAGAATTGTCTTGACAGCACATGATCATTATTATTAATATTAAACAGAGGCCATTTGTCAGGGATGCTTTAGAGTGGGTTAGACTTGATTAACCTCAGGATCCCTTGCAGTGCTACTAGTTTATGAATGCCCAAGGTCAACCTGTGAAAATCATGACTAGAACCAGGTCTGGGTGGGTGTGAGTGAGTCTTCATAGTCTAATCAACATAAACTGTTTTCTGATTTTCTGATTTATTTGTTGTGGGCTGCTTTATTTGTTCACTTGTGATGAATATTTAGTATATTATTTAAGTTTTATTTTATGTTATCTTATGTCTGTTTCACTTTGTATATACACCACCCAGAGCAGTTTTTCCAATAATCGTTGTGGTATAAAGTTCAATTTAAAAAGAAATAAGTTATCTACGTATTTGAATTTTGAATAAAGCCCATTGTGTCATAATGTCATGTATGCTTAACTTGGACACTGCAGGGCAAGATTTTATATCAAATATAAATTAAAATAGGAACCACCTATCTCTTATCAAAATAGAAAAAATGTATAATGATTATATTGTACCGTGCTTCCCCCAAAATAAGACACGGTCTTATATTAATTTTTGCTCCAAAAAACACATTAGGGCTTATTTTCAGGGGATTTTTTTTCAATCTACATTTATGCAAATACTGTACAGTTATGTCGTCTTCTTCTGGTTGCTGAACAGAGAAAGTAAGTTACATGGGGAAGGACCTCCATTTCCATGTGAAATGGGGATTGAAGAAAATGCTCTACCTTTCTAAGAGAAGAGAATGATAAAGAAGGTTAAAAGGAACTGTAGAATTGCCACTGCTTCTCTCCAGCACCTCACGCCTCAGTTTCTTGCATCTCTCTACCTGAAGATCAGCCTCAACCTCCAGACTCACAGAGATCATCAGTCACTAGAAAACCAAAAACTGAGGCTATTGAGATATGAAGAGTGGGGCAGCCACCAAGCAATTTCCATAGAGTGGCAACGTAAGGACAGTTTTTCCCCCTAGAATTATACTTGTAGGCATTTCTCCTGAACTGTTATTTATGCAAACCATTATTGAGACCAAACTCAGATAAAAATACAGATTCGTCTCACTTCTAGTTTAAATCCTAGCCAAAGACCACCAATGAAGCTAGGAGTGAGTACATGCCATGAAGGCGAGAGCCTGGCCAATAGGTAGGCCTTCTTCTGGTTGCTGCACAATGGTGGAGGAGGGGGTTTCACTTAACTGGGACTTATTTGGGGGGTAAAGCTTATATTATGAGCATCCTGAAAAATCATACTAGGGCTTATTAGCCACCTAGAGTGGTCGCAATGACCAGATAGGTGGGGTATAAATGGAATAAATAAATAAATAATATTCTCAGGTTAGATCATATTTTCAAGGAAACAGGGTATGACGCTAATTTACCATTATTTACTATTTAATATGCTGAAAGAGAATGCAGAGGAAAGTGATATGGAAAATAAGCTGTTGCTGAATATTTTATATTGACAAAAAATAATCTCTGTCTACTGATTTACTTTCTCATCCTTCTGTCTTTACTCTCAAAACCCAGGTAAATAATCTAGGAAAACTCAGACACCTAGAATTGAAGCAGAGTTAGGCCCAAAGTATTAAAAATCACACTGAAGGATAATAGCCTCCGTAATAGATTGATGTCACATCTTTATTTAGAAAATGACACTTTTTCATTACTGATCAGAAAGTTGAAGTTAAAGGGAGCAGAAAAAAGCGGAATACCTAATATGAGGTTTGTTGACCAAGGTGCCGATCAGACAGGCATTTGTCCTGCTATTTGGTTCGCTGTGGGGACAGGTTGGTTCACTCATTTTTTCAGCAATCAAATATAATCGCTACTGTGAATCAATCTGTCCCTAAGGCACCCCTACAAACACCTTTCTGAGACCCTGTTAATGGCTTCTACTTTTTAATGCACGTTGGTTAACTCTAGTTTGGTTCATTTCCAGTTTATGCGGTCTCTGGAAATAAACCAAGGCGTGAGCTGTCAAGGGTTCATATGCTATCAATTTCTGGTATTGTGAAGTGGCTTAATAAGTGAGCCGCTTCAGGATCTCAGCAAATTGAACATTTCCCTTGCTACTTGGCAGAGGGGCACAGATGGCACAGTGGGGCACAGTGAATTTATTTTTATTTTTAATTACTCTGTGCTGCAACACTTAGATTAAATGTAAAGGGTTTTGTTTTTTTTTTGTCTTGTCTGAAGTGCTGATTAAGAAACTGTCCACAGCTAAAACTATGGACTGGGATATTTAAGGAATAGTTTTTGCCAGTTCCAGCCAGCTAGCCTGTTAGCTCCCCTCCGAGTTCCACCCTGCTCTGGGTTTCCATAGTTTTTAATTACTCTGTGCTGCAACACTTAGATTAAATGTAAAGGGTTTTGTTTTTTTTTTGTCTTGTCTGAAGTGCTGATTAAGAAACTGTCCACAGCTAAAACTATGGACTGGGATATTTAAGGAATAGTTTTTGCCAGTTCCAGCCAGCTAGCCTGTTAGCTCCCCTCCGAGTTCCACCCTGCTCTGGGTTTCCATAGCCTAGTGGGGGTGGACTGGAATATTTAAGGAACAGTTTTTGCCAGTTCCAGCCAGCTGGCCTGTTAGCTCCCCTCTGAGTTCCACCCTGCTCTGGGTTTCCATAGCCTAGTGGGGATTTTAACCCAGGTCTCCTGGGTCCTAGTCCACCACTCTATCTGTTGTACTATTCTACTACAAATCTACTAAACCTTCACAGCTACCCACCCAGTCAAAGCATTCACTCAGCTTAGTCCTAAAGTTTCAAAAGACATAGCTTTGGTCCTGCAGATATCAAATTCACGTTAATCTGCCATCCTGATCATTCCTGATCATATACTAGCTTAACTGGGTGACAAGATTTCTTCTTGTTTTCCCATATGCTGGGTTAAGTTGCATGACCTCAAAACATGTTACTGCTTGATGCAGAACAGCAAAAGGCACCCCACACACCCAAGTCAAGGCGCCTAGTACCTAAAGGCAGTCAAATTATATTGGCACCAGTGGTAAAGCAAACAAATAAACAAACACATCTCCAAAGACTTTTAGAAATAAAAGAGTAATTAGAACAAATCAAATGCTAACAAATAGATAACCAGCAATATGTGCTTTCCTTTCATGATACCTGACATATGTTGTTGATAGTGCCTGCCTCCCTCTGCTTTACAGTAGAGCCATCAACTCTGGTTTAATTTTTTTTAAAAATCCTAGATCATGGAAAAGTTTGCCCTTGTTCTTTGCCTGGATTTCAGAGCATCCCTATTTCTCAATATGGGTTGGACTGGCATTGCAAACTTAGCTCACAGAGTTGCTAAGAGGAGGTCACTGAAGATCTGGGGCTAGGAGATGATCAAAATCAGTGGGTTTGGTAGAAGGAAGGAGGATTCGGTTGCAAAATCTCCAGTTGGAAAGCCACCCCCCTACCTTAAAAGGAATGTTTATCTGCCTCTGCAGTAAAGAAGCTTCTGTATTTGGGTACTTCAGTCCTTTCAGTGTTATGGAGATTCATTCATTCATTCATTTAGTTTTTATACCATCCATCTATCAATGGGTGGTATAAAATGGGCAGTATACAGAAAGTAAAGCAAAAAATCATAAAACATATTCTAAAATATAAAGAATGGGGGGGGGGAGATAGGTGTCAAGAAGAACCAGTCTTCCTCCTCCACGCATATAATCAATTGAGGAGCAGCCAATCTTTAGGTGGCTGCTCCTGCACTGCCCCACCCGCATTTAGAAACTGATGTCCTTTCCCTAGTAACTGGTAAGGAACCCTTCAGTTCTTTCCTTTACGGTTCAGTCCAGCGTCGCCCGCTCCAGGCTGTATCTTGCACTGGCAGTGGCAAACATCGAAGGGAAGGGAAGCAGGAGCTGGGGCGGGGCGGCGGTGGGGGGGTGAATGGAAAGTGCAACAGCCCTCTCTGACTCTCACTGGTTGGTACAGATCCTGGCGACTGCAGGATGGAGATGAGGTGAGAGAGGCAGGATCTGACTTGGGAGAACTGCTGGGGAGAGGATGCAGCACCTTAAGAGAAAGAGCAACTGCTGGCACCTCTTCCTTCTCCCCTCCTTCTCTGCCTTAATCCTCACAGGAAGCTATGATTAGGTGTGTGCGGGCAGCTACCGATGAGTACAACATTCCCCATCCTGGATGTTGGTTTCCACGCTTAACCCGGAGAGCCCTGCCACAGGTGTCCACCAGCATCGTATGCAAAGTGCGTAAGAGGCAGAGCTCCTCTACCCCTGGGACCTCCTCCTCCCCCCCGATCCCCGACTTATCCCTGCCAGGCACTGCCATGTGCTTCCTCGGTGTTCAGGGAAACACACTCGGCTCGCGGCTGAACTCAGCAAGATGCCTTTCTCTCCTAACAATCCGCTGCCTTGTCTTCCGTTTCAGCCGGGCCCCCTGCCACTAGGGAAGAACCAGAGCGGGGGGGGGGAGTTGATTTCCGAGTGAGCGGTGGTATTCTCTTCAGTCCCAAACACTCCCCGGTTTTGAACCCGCTACCTTCCGTTAGCCGGTACACAGACACTGCCAAAGTCAGCTGGCACAAGGAGATAACACGGGGCCTTCTACAAACAAAACACGGAGGACCTGATGCCAGAGCAGTCCGCGTTAGGGAAGGTCACGGGTTAGCCAGAAACCGGTGGTTCCTGCCGCATTGGCCAGAAGGCAGGGAGAAGACCAAGCAACCCCGCGCGCCTGTACGAGGAGAGCCGGCTGACAGCCGGCTGGTATAGAGCTCCACACAGCCTCCAGGGCCGGTGCGTCCTGCTCTTCCCCGCGCCGCTCACCTCGGTTGCCATGTTGTTCCAGCGTGGCTGCTCTACGCCGCTCCTGCGCCAGGGAGACCGAAGGGGAGGCAGGAGTAGCTGGCTACGGAAGACGCCTGCCGGCCCGGGAAGCCGTCCGGAGGGCGCTGCCCCTGGTGCTGCAAGCGAAGGAAGCGAGCGCTGGAATCCCGCAGAGGCTGCCGGCAGGGAAGGCAGGAAATGAGGCTGCGCCGGAGCGGCGGTGGCGGCGTGCTGGGGAAGGGGCGCGCAGAGTGCGGCCGGCGCTGTCCTTGGTGCTGAAACCTATTACAATATTTGAGGGAGAAGAGCGGGGGCGGGGGCAAGCACCCCACCTAGCGTTGGCCGCGGGGCTGGCTCCCCATTTCCCAGCACTATCCTATCAGTTGGTAGCTGCCGGTTCTTTCTCCCTCCTCAGCCTCATCAACAGCGGAGGCTTGCTCAGTGACTGGCACCACCACAAGAGGAGGGGGTGGGCTTCCAGTGGGAGCCGCATCCCCCCAGGGTGTCCCCAAGCTGGATGGAATGCCGGGATCCCGGTCCGCACAGGGACCGGTAGAGGCGAAGCTGCACAGAAGGACTCAGGCAACGTGCATTTCCTTCTTGTCCTCCTGGAGCCAGCATGTGAGCTATCTGGGCATTTGCCCATTTTTGCTGCTAGCCAGCAGATAGCACAGTGCTTTGGACAGTCGGATGAGTCTTTCACATACTCTCCCACCCTCTACAAAGGCAGCACTGCTGATCAGCAAACACTGGTACAAACTGCCACATAACTCTGCCCCCTTCATCCCAGAGTAAGAAAGGAATGATGTAATTCACTACAATAATATGCACTAGGGGAACAGAAACGTCCTCCAGGAGCAGGTAGGACAGATCTGCATCATAGTTATCCTCCTGATTGCTTGGCCACAACTGCTGCCTTTGGGTTCATCTTCAGACTAAAGCCATCCAAGGATAACAGTAGGGGTTTTGGCTCTGAAAGCTTCCTGTGCACTTCAAAGTAAACCAGGTTTCCTCCTTTTGGAGGGAATGAAGTCCCCCAGGAAGGCACAAATAAATATAGATTTTTTAAAAAAAAAACTGTGAAATTCAAGACATCTATTTGCATCCCTTCTTCCTCAGTTTTAAAGCTTGGTTACCTTAGATAACAATCAGCCAATGTTCGGTTGGGAAAATTCAAAACCACCCTCCAGTCTCTTGGACTGTGCTGCCTCCTCCTTAGCCTTTTAATGTTCAGGTCTGAGAGGGCTTCTGTCCCACAAGAGTTTGGTTGAAGGGAGCATTTCAGTTTCACATGATTGGAATTATTTTGCTTCTGTTTTTGAAAAGACAGGAGCTCTTTTGTTCTCAGGATGCCCCCTGGCCCACAATATCTCTGTCCGCAAAGCCTCTTCTTTCCTTGTGCATTCCCTTTCGGATGACAGCACACAGTTCCCTAGACAATCTCCCTCACCAACCCAAAGATTCACCAACATCACATAACCTCTCCTGTGCAACAACATTCAACAGTTTCCTTCCATTACTCGTTTCTCAAGGATTACCCATGTCTTCATGTCTCTACCTTCTCTGTCCTTTTTCTTAGGTCCTTGCCTTCTCCGCCTGTCTTTTCCTTAGATTTGTCCATCCATTGTCTGTTTCACTCTGCTCTGTGCTGCCCCATTCTCCCTGTTCCTCTTGAGGCCTCCTGGCCTTACTCAGTTGCCTTATTCTACCACGTGTCTTTTCCTGGATCTGCACAAAATCATAACATCTAGAGCCAAGGAAACATCAGATTTGATGTGGAAAAAAAGCCACATTCAGCAGTTTATATCAACTTTTCAAAGTGAGTAATGATCAGTCCTTTGCTTAACATAAGAAATTGATTGTGTAAGTGGTTCCCAACCTGTTTCAAGTCATGACCCACTTTTATAATAGGCAAGTAATCTGTGACACACACACAGTGCCATAAAATAATTCTTTCTTAGAATGTTCCTTTCTCTCTCAAAGGCCCTGCTTCTCATACATACAATACATGCTAACTTTAATATCCCCCTCCAAAAGATCAAGGAAGAAACTATATAACAAAGCCTACAAAACATATAAAGCAACCCATGACCCTCCAACCCAAGGAACAATATGCACTGCTGAAAAGCCTGTCGCTCGTGGATGAGCTGTTCATGTTTCCACCAACAGTAGGGATGTGTCAGAATCAGTGGCATTGCAACTGCTCATGATGTGAACATAAGAGGAGCAGCAAGTACCTGAGAAGCTGCTAGTGGTACTGGCCTAAAGACCAATGTGAGACTTGATGTTTAACACCTGCAATTATCTGCAGAGCACTTTCACTGTGGAATTGTTTCAGCTTCTTTTATTGATACTATCCTGTGCAAAGCACTCCAAGTTGTCATTTGTAAATCTTTGTATCTGATGGGGTTCTTTTTCCAAAACTGAAGAATTAGGAAGGGGGGGAGTAAGACTGCATTTTGTAAACCTCTGCTAAAATATTTCTGATTACCAGAATGGCCAAAATCCTGTTGCACAATTACATGTGCACAACTCAAAGCTGCATCTGCAGTAGTTGCATAACAGCTGGGGCAGAAATGCAAGCCCCTACGCATTTCCACTGGTGAATGCACAAAAGGTCACATGTCCCCAGCATGACCAATTGTACAATGGCAGAGGCAGAAGTGCTTCAAGGACTGCGCTTCAGCCATTGTGCAGTCTTAGGCTGGGAACATGTGACCAACTGCACAACCGTACACCACAATCCCTTGTTGATGGATGTAACACCCAGCACATTTGCACCAGCATAACTTTATGTTACACTGACATGAACAGCATACTGGCCAGTCCAAGCACCAAAACGTCCAGAAGACTGAACAAAAAAAAAAACAGATAATAAATTCTATGCAGGCAACTGGCACTCTTCAAAAAGAAAGGGAGAGGTAGGATGGCTGAAGAGTGATGCACTGGGATGCTTTGACCTCAGGGGGAGGAAGCACACATGGGAAGGAAAGCAGGTTTGGTGAAGTCACTCCCTTTTAGGCCCAGGGACAATAATGAAAGGCCCTACAACATTAGTGCTCACTCCAAGAGGATGCCAAGGACCATCCTACCAAAATTTCTGGCAGGATGAGGAGGAGGACTGCAGGATTATCTACTATGAATAAAGATGACTTTAAAACATTTCAGGTCTCTACTATTTGGTTATCAAACCATGCTTCTGTTTAGTAACCCTAGGAAAGGTCATTAGAATTGACTTCTCGGCACACTACTACTACTACTACTACTACTACTACTACTACTACTACTACTACTACTACTACTACTACTACTACTACTACTATAGTTTTACTAATCCAGACCAATACATACTTTGTGTGAGCAAAGAGTGGCTGCAAATGACAGTCATCTAGTGGAACAGACGACATACTACATGTAAATGTGCATGCGTCTTGTCCTCTGATGGCCACAGATTTCACAATTACCGTGCATCAGCAATTCAGAGTAACTAATGATAAAGTGATTATTCTCTGCACTGCACACCTAGTATGGTGTAGTGGACAAGGCAATGAACTAGAAGACTTAGGGTCAAAACCCTGCTTAGCCTGTGGAAACTCATGAGGTGAGGTGAAACCAGTAAAACCATCCCTTAAATATCACAGTTTAAAAGCCCTCTTAGGGTGATTATAAGTTGGTTCCAACTTGATGGCACACAATGCACACCTTCTCCCCTGTTGTGCTTACCATCTCAGTTGCCTACTCCATGTCTACCTACATGTTTAGCATCTTTAAGTGTAGTACATATGTGCACCTGGAAATATATAGGACATCCTGCATAAGTCAGGTCATAGCCACTTCATTGTGCTGGGCCAGGATCCAACTTCGCAAATTTCAACTGACATCACTGAAAGGACCAAATACAAACCAAAGAAATTATTCCTTCGCGGTTGTCATTTCCTTCAATGATTTTGCTGACATTTAAAAACAGATTTCCTTGCAGGACATATAGCTTGCCCTTGGGAAGGAAACATGCCTCACAAATCACTTGTGGTACTCAGTGGAAAGAGGAAATTGACAACATCAGTGCTTTATGGCAAGCAATTACACTTGCTGCCTAATGGGCTCCAGCCAATCCTTTTAGGTCATGACTGCTTCTGATGCCAGACACACTGTGTCTTGCCAAAAAAGGAACCCGGCTGAGTGACAGCAACCATCATAGCATTTAAAAGAGGAATCTGGCATATGTTTCAGTTAATAATAATTGTGTGCCATCAAATCAATTCTGATTTGGGGCAACCCTTTTCAGAGTTTTCTAGATGGAGAGTATTTAAAAGTGGTTTACCATTCCTTTCTTCTTGGGGCATCCTGAAACTGTGCAGCTTCCCCAAGGCTGCACAGGATGGCTCTTCTGGACACACAGTGGGGAATTGAGCTCCCAGCCTCTGGATCTGCAGCCAGAAACCTCACTCACTGAGCTATCCAGCTAACATGTTTTTACTTAAAGGGACAGAAATACAGAGCAGTCATTGCAAAGGCCATTAAAAAGAAGAATGACAAGGATTAACAATGGGTATCTCTTTACCCCAAACTTTCACAATTATACACAATACACAAAATATACGATTTTTAAAAACTGAACAGTTTTGTACTTCTCAACAGTGCTGTGAATAACAGAAATTTAAAAGACAAAAAATTTAAAAATAAAAAGAAATTTAATAACCATTTCATTGGAGCACTGTTGCCTTCAATTGTGTGAAATACAAAATATTGTATCTGATTGCTTTATAAACTGGACGGAAAAAAATATTTATGCCTATATATGTTCCTTTCCACAGTGAGAGAGGAAATGACACGTACCTGTAGTCTGTGCACTGGATCCCTTTCAATATTAGCTCTACTAATTAATCAGGCGGCAAATTGCAACTATAACGGAAGCTTTAGTTGATTAACCTACCAAGAAAATTGATTAAAGCTCACAGCTCTGGCGGATACTGATACAGCTATTATCAGTCCTATTTAATTTGCACATGGCATGAGCGGGCTGGCTTTTACATCAACTCTACAGCAATGAGAAGCAGTATAGCTGACCCAGCAACTTCCCTACATTGAATTTTTTTTTTAGAATATACAGTACCTATATCATTAAAGAGCCATAACAAAGAAAATCATTAAGATGAGTTGTACAACTGGAGTTGCAAACAACTAGCCTCAAAGAAATGAAGAAACTTCTCTGATGGGTACCATTTCGGTTGGCATGGGCAATCTGTGGCATGCAGGCATTTAACAACTCCTGTTATCCCTGACCATTGGCTGTCCTAGCTAGGATGATGGTCATCTGGCTGCAGATTCTTCTGTATTAAGGTAACAGAACAGCATAAAGGCTGACACAGATACATACCCTTAGTAGAACAATTCATAAGAGATTGTTCAAACAGCATCAGACATTGGCTCAAATCTTGTTGCTCAGCATTGTAACTCAGAAATAGAGCAGGCCCGTTGAATCAATGGAAATTACGGAGGAGTTGACACATTAAATTCCTGCTGATTCAGTGAGCTTACCCCATTTGCAACTTACTACACTAAGCAACATAATTTCAATCAATGAGTTGAAAAAACACTACTAACTATATGACTATAAATTGGCACAGGCGTCCTGAGTTGCGTCATTAGCTAAGATAAATAGGAAATATTACCAATATA